TGTGGAGAGATGGGGACTCTCGTCCACTGCTGGTGGAACTGGGAAGTGATATACAACTACTGTGGAAAACAATATGGCAATTCCTTAAAAAGCTGGAATTGGAGATACCATTTGAGCCAGGAATCCCATTGTTGTTGTTGTTATGTGCTGTCAAGTCAGACCTGACTCATAGCAACCCCCCCTTGGGTTTCCAAGGCAGTATCACTATGAAAGTAGATTGCCCTATCTTCCTTCCGAGGAGTGGCTGGTGGGTTTGAACCACCAGCCTTCTGGTTAGCAGTCAGGTGCTTTAGGCACTACACTACCAGAGCTCCTAGGAATCCCATTAGTAGGTATATATCCTAGAGAGGTGAGAGCCAGGGCAGGAACAGATATATGCATGCCATGTTCATCTCAGCACTATTTACAATAGCAAAAATATGGGAACAACCTACGTGCCCATCAATGGAAGAGTGAATGACCAAACTATTGTACATACACACAATGGAATACTATGCAACGCTAAAGAATAATGTAGAATCTGCAAAACACCGCATAACGTGGATGAACTTGGAGGACATTATGCTGAGTGAAATAAGTCAATCACAGAAGGACGAATATAATATTAATTCATTGTTGTGGAGGGTCAAGAAAAGGCTTATATATGGAGGGAAATTTTTTTTGTTGGTTGCCAAGGGTGGGAGGAGGGGTAGAAACATTGAAAAAAAAATACATTGACCTATGTCACTTTAGTTTTGTGTATTTCACTGTACATAAATTATATTTCAATAAAAAGCATTAAAAAAAAAAAAAAGTAGGCTTCCAGTACTTCTCATGCTTTGCCCAGATACATATTGAAGAAGCTAAGTTTCAAGACAGGGCATCTGAGAGGTTGAGGCTCCCTTTTATCACCTAGCCCTCATTCATAGGACAGTCACTGTACCCTGGGCAATGAATGCTGAGAATACTTGGGCTTTGATTGCCAAGAAGACTAGATGCTGCCACCCCTTCCCAGCTCCCTGCTCCCAAAGCAGGGATGTCACTCAGAGAGTGCCCCCAGCCCTGGAACTATGCCTAAGAAGTTTTGTCCATGAGTAGCTACAAAACTCTCTTTTTATTTCAGACAGAGTACAAGGAAATTTAACCCTATACATGCTCTCTAAAATAATGGAGGTTGTAGTAGAAAACAATTAAGATGAGGCTGATAGCTTCATGACAGAGACAAGTACACCGTAGGTCATCTTCACTAGAGAGATCCAGGGAAAGAGACAGAAAGAAGAGCCCTTCTGGGGTGAGAACAGACTTTAAAGATTGACCTGAAAAATCCATCCCTCCAAAGGATCCTAGTTTTAATTGGATCAGACTATAGAGTGATTTATGTCCAAGGGCACTGTCAAAAACAACAGATAAATCAGCCAGCAATTAGTGGACTCTAACAGGTGGGTGTGATACCAACAGAGGCAGACAATTTAACAGAGATATCAAGAAAAGAAACAGTCTAAAGACAGACCTGCTAAAATCATCTAATTCCAGGATGACTCAGCACACGCCCAAGGCTGTTTCCTCTGAGGAGTGACATGAGACGCTGTATGTTGTAGGGAAAATAGACTTCACTATAATAGTTCAGCAAACTTACCAAACTTATAAACAAGCAAACAACAACAAGCCCTGGAAGAGGGTGAGGGGGAGATCAGTATCCAGAGTTACTACAATATATTATCAAAGATGTCCAGTTTTCAATAAATATTTATGAGACAAAGAAACAGAAAAAGTCCAATCCATGCACAGGAAAAAAGATGAGTAACAGAAACTATCTGTGTGAGGGCCCAGTGTCAGACTTAGAAGTTTCATGTTCAAAGCAGTTATTATAAACATGTTCAAAGAACTAAAGGAAACCTGATTTAAAAAGTAAAGGATACTTTGATGGACAATATGTCATCAAATAGAGAATATCAATAAAGAGAGAAAAATTATAAAAGAGCAAAATAGAAATTTTGTATTTGAAAAGTACAATAACCAAAGTGACCAATTTACTATGGTGGGTCAAGAGTAAATGGAACTTATAGAAGAAATAGTCAACAAACTTTAAAATAGGTCAATAAAGATTATGCAATCCAAAGAACAAAGGGGGAAAAAATGAAGAAAAATGAACTGTCTATAAAAACATGGGACCTCATTAAACATATAAACATATGATTAATTAGAGTTCCAGATAGAGAGGAGAGAGGCAAAGAAGCAGAAAAATGTGCAAAGAAATAATGCTGAAAGCATTATAAATTTGATGAAAAACATTAATCTACACATCCCAGGAACTTAACCAACTCCAAATAGCATAAATATAAAAAGATACATGTACACAAATACATCATAGTAAAAATGTTGAAAGACAAATAGAAAATCTTGAAAACAGCATGAGAAAAAATGACTCATAATATACATACAGGAACCTCAAGAAGATTAACAGTTAACGTCTCATTAAAAACAATGGAGGCCAGAAGACAGTGGAATGCTAAAGAATTTTATACCCAGCAAAACTACCTTTCTAGGTAGCATTAAGTTTTTGTTCATGAGGATGGAAAATGCAGCAATAGACATTGGTGAAAGTTGTACGATATAATTTATGTAATTGGTTTCACTAGATTGTACATGTGACAAATGATGTATTGGCAAATTTGTGTTAACTATATTTTTCACAACAACAATGAAATAAAGAAGGCCTTCAACGAGATGGACTGACACGGTGGCTGCGATGATGGGCTCAAGTATAGCAGGGATTGTGGGGCTGGCGCGGGATCAGGCAGTGTTTCGTTCTGCTGTTCACGGGGTCGCTATGAGTCAGAAATGACTCGACGGAACTTAACAACAACAGAGTAGTTTAAAGGCGCTCTGGTGGTATCCACCGAGGAACCCAAGGAGGGATCACTATGAGTCGAATAGACTCGACAGCAGTGAGTTTGGGGGTTCTTGTTGTTTGTTTTTTGGTTTGGTAATATAGTGGTTAAGGCATTTGGCTGCTAACCAAAAAGGTCACTGGTTCAAACCTACCATCCACTCCGCAGAAGAAAGGTGAGGCAATCTGCTTCCATAAAGACGTACAGCCTTGGAAACCCAGCTGAGGTTGCTATGAGTCAAAACTGACTAGATGGAAATGAGTTTGGTTTTGGTTTGAGGGTAGTTTAGGGTGACCTAATTACTTGTCTCTCAGATGGAGATAAACTCCAACTAGGAAAGAAGCAGCCATTACTCATTTGTTTTGGGTACAGCAACAACAACAACAACAGCAACAAAAAAAAAAACCTATTTGCCCACGAGTAGATTTGACTCATAGCGACCCCTCCTTGGGGTTCTGAGATGGTTGTTGTTATTGTTGTTGTTTGCCATTGAGTTTGACCCGACTCATGATGACACCTCCTTGGGTTTCTGAGGTGGTATCAGTACAAAAGTAGATTGCCCAACCTTCCTTCTGAGGAGTGGCTGGTGGGTTTGAACCTCCAGCCTTCTGGTTAGCAGTCAAATGCCTTGTTGTTGTTGTTGTTGTTAGGTGCCATCCAGTCGTCTCTCACTCATAGCCACCCTATGCACAGCAGAACAAAACGCTGCCAAGTCCTGCGCTAGCTCCAGATCCCTGCTATACTTGAACCCATTGCTGCAGCCACTGTGTCAATCATTTCCCTGAGAGCCTTCCCCTCATTCGTCGACCTTCCACCTTACCAAGCAAGACATCCTTCTCTTCTGACAATATGAACAAAGTAGGTGAGACGAAGTCTGGCCACTCTCGCTTCAAGGAGCATTCTGGATGCACTTCCTCCAGGACAAATTTGTTAGATCTTTTAGCAGTCCATGGTACTTTCAGCATTCTTCACGAGCATCACAGCTCAAAAGCATCAACTTTTCTTAGGTCTTCCTTATTCATTGTCCAGCTCTCACATGCAAATGAGGCGATTGAAAATACCATGGCTTGTGTCAGATGCACCTTAGTCCTCAAGGAGACATCTTTGCTCTTCAGCGCTTGAAAGAAGTCCTTTGCAACCTATTTGCCCAGTGCTGTATGTCCTCCAGAAGGCTGGCAGTTCAAACACACCAGCCACTCCTTGGAAGGAAGGTTGGGCAATATACTTTCGTAGTAGTACCGCCTCAGAAACCCAAGGAGAGGTCGCTATGAGTCAGATCCAGCTCCACAGCAGTGAGTTTGGTTTGGTTATATGTCGTCTGATATCCTGACTGCTGTTTCCATTGCAGTCAATTGTAGAACCAAGCAATGTGAAGTCTTTGACAATTTCAATCTTTTATCCATGTATCATGGTGCTGCTTATAGGTCCAGTTGTGAGGATTTTTGTTTTCTATATATTGAGATGTAATCCATACTGCAGACTGTATTCTTCAATCTTCATTAGTAAGTGCTTCATGTCATCCTCACTTTCAACAAGCAAAGTTGTGTCGTCATTATATCACAGGTTGTTAATGATTCTTCCTCCAAACCTGATGCCACCTTCTTCTTCATATAGTCCAGCTTCTCGGATTATTTGCTCAGCATAAAGATTGAATAAGCACAGTGAAAGGATACAACCCTGACGCACTCCCTTCTTGATTTTAAACCATGCAGCATCCCCTTGTTCTGTTCAAATGACAGCCTCCTGGTCTATGTACAGGTTCCTCATGAGTACAATTAAGTGTTCTGGAATTCCCATTCTTAATGTTACCCATGATTTGTTATAATCCACAGAATCAAATGCTTTTATATAGTCAGTAAAACACAAGTAAATGTCTTTATGGTATTCTTTGCTTTGGCCAAGATCCATCTGATATCAGCAATGATATCCCTCGTTCCAAGTTCTCTTCGAATCCAGCTTATATTTCTGGCAGTTCTCTGTCAATATACTGCTGCAACCATTTTTTAATTATCTCCAGTAAGATTCTACTTGTATGTGATATTAATTATATTGTTTGATAATTTCCACATTCTGTGGGATCACCTTTCATATGCCTTAGGCCTTACAAAAGACACTATTTTGCATTTTCAGGTGTAATTGTGTGGAACCTCACAATCCCAGCAATGATACATTGAAAGAATGGAAGGACTCCAATATATCCTCCTCTGACATAATTTGGGAGAATTTAACTGTGTCGGTAAGTGAAACATTGAAAGATTAGTCATAGCTTGAGTAGTACTACTTTATGGGCTTTTATAGACATTTTGAATTAATTATTGCCACTAAGGTAAAATTTTTTGAACACATAGTAATAAAAGTGATACAATTTTGTTTTAATTTTAATTTGAACAATTTCAGATATACCTCCATAAACTGAGGTTTCGTTTCATTGTTAAGTTTTTCTAATAGTTAGTATGGCTGGATTACTCCCAAAGCATCCATATACAGAATAATACAACTGAGATTAACAGAAAGCACATTAAATAAAGGGGTGTTGACCTAAATGAAACCATATGGCAGAATTAAGTCTGCCTTCTGTGTAACAAACCCATAACACTTTTACTTCACTCTGTAATGCTGCTCCAGCTGTTCAGAATATACTGAGGGAGGGGAGGGGATATCTGTGAATATTTTAGTGTAAATACTAAAATCTTTGGAGAAACAAAAGTCACTTTTCTTAACAAAACTCTGACACCTCTCTCAGCAAGGGCTTTCTTACTTCCATTAATTCTTATCTTCTACTCAAAGAAAGGGGATGGCCACATACATACATACATACATATATGATAGATATATATGTATATATGCATGTACATATATACATGCATACATATATGTATATATGCATGTACATATATACATGCATACATATATGTATGTATGCATGTATATAATATATGTATGTATATATGTACATACATATATTTTTTTTTCTGCTTTGTGATTTTTATTTTTTTCATCAACACGTTTCACAATTCTCCTCAATCTATTGTACTGTTTGTGGACCTCTATCTCTGCATCATTTTCCTCTGTTCACCTGTTTAATTTGAAATCTAAACGTGTTCTGCTTTTAACAAATATTATAATCTGGATGTCCCTAGTTTCTTTTCTTCTATTTCCAGTTACAAACATTATAAACCAAAATTTCTGCCACTTTGCCTACCTGTATAAGCTCCAATCCCAGTACAATCACCAGCACAAGATTATATCAATTCTCATTTATTTTATCATGCACTAAAATGATATATTTTAGTAAGTAGACCAGCTAATGGGACGTAGATTATGCAGATATTATAAAACTCTAAATATGATTCTTGTAATAGTGTATCAATGAAAACCACTATTTTTTTATCTTAATATTTTGCTGTGTTTTTTCCTGAGTATAATCATCAATATTATCAAACTTTATTATTATTTTTTTTCAAATAAAGCATTGTGCTGGTGGCTATTATAAATAGTTTCATTACAATAGCCATAAAACATGTATTTTCTATATTATTTGTCAGGTCCTATATTGTTTTATTCAATATTTTATTGAATTATTTCATAGCTCATAAATTTTTACTTTTGTTAACTTAGCAAGGGCAAAGAATGGTAGCTCTCTTTGATTCTCTCAAACTTCTTTATGCATAGTAAGTGTACAAGAAAATTTAATGACTACTTTTGTCTTGCCTCACAAATTTAGCGTTTAATGCAGATCTTTCACGGCAAGCAAGAACACTTAGGTTTATTTGTTAAATATATTTTTAGCAATATCAAAATCAGCCATTACAAGGAATTCCTAGGCAATGTGGCAGTGTTTAAAATATTCACAAGCAATTAATTAGCAATGGGTTAAGAATTATTTCAGTGCCTGCATTACATATTTAGCTTCTATATATATATAAGGGCAGGAGATTAATGTCAGCTTAATTATTTTAAGAAATGTAATTTTTGCTAGCTTTAGAAATTGTTGAAATTTAGATTCTGTTGGAATAATATTATTAGAAATCAGTTTGTCAACAAGCAATTTTTTAGTACCCATTGTAAATGAAACCATATGTTAGATTCAAAATAAGAGACCAGCATTTGGATTTAGTTTCACTTCCAAACCTCAGGACTTGTTGTTATTGTGTGTGTGTATGTAAGTGTGTATCAAAGGGTACAATTAATATAAACCTGAAAATGTAGAATTTAGTAAGCCAAAATTTTCATTTTTAAAAAATTTTTAAATTAGCATACTGTACCCTCAAAAGGAAGAAAAAAATGTTATTTTCTAATTTGCTTTGAATTAAAGTAACTAGGTAAGCTATTGGCAATTTATTATAGGTTATAAAACAGTTAAATGATCCTTTAAATGGCATCTATATTTTTAAGAATTGAGAGCAAGACCTAGCCAAGCCTAAAGAATATTTAGAAGATAAAAGACAGAAGATGGTCACAAACTATAGGTAATATGTTTATCATGGACTTATAGCTTTTCTTTGTATTTAGCTATTCAAATACTTATTACATTGCCTAGTAATTGTTCTAGTAGCATCTAGACAGGGGAGGAGAAGAAAGTGAAAAATCAAGGGCTCATTTTTGTTTTATTTTTACAGTTTCAAGAGAAAGAAAGCTATAATTACAACCTGGGGAACTTTTCTGATGGATATACACACACACACACACACACACACACATATATATGTATGATTAGCCAAGTTATTTGCACTATATTAATTTGGCATGGATAACTAGAATTCAACTTTAGCCAGCAATTAGATTACAAAAGGGGTCAAAATTATTTTAGACAGTTGTTAACATGTCTAACATTATTTCCCAGGAATCCTAGACTTAGGATAGCTGCCTCAGGTAGATTTTGCTAGTTATTTGTTTGTTTTCTGAGGATAATGTAGCTATTTGTGATTTATTCTAGAGGCTTTTGGAGTTATTTGTGTTCTCCTCTTCAAGGAGTCCAGGTCCTGAGGCTTGATTCATTGGGTGGCCTCTATTTTGACAATCAATCCATCTGTCCACATTTTCCTGTAAGATCTCTCTGTACCATGGCCCAATTTAATTTCTGTACCTCAAGGATTGATAAGGTCACTGGATCATTTAAACCGTTCTTTTACTTTTTGAAATAAAAATTAAATTCTTCAGGAGTCGAGTTTTTAAAATAAAATTAAAGAAACTAAAATGACTTTAAAATATTTTTTTTCTTTCAAAATACTTCTATTTTGAAAAATGCTGGTTTTCTGGGAGAAAGAAAATTTTTTTGACTTTGCTGCCACCTTATGGCTAAGGCAGTAATTAGAAATGATCTTTCAGGAGCTGATAGAAGTCTACACATACTAACAGAAAAGAAATAGGGGATGGGGGCAAGAAGTCATAGTAAATAAGAGTTTTGCCTTGCTCATGTAGGAACTTTTTTTCTCATTTGTTCTTTAATCTAAATTCAAGAACCTCACTTTTGACTCACAATTTTATTTCAGTAATTATATATCCAAGTTTTCTTGTCTTTCTTAGTAGCTTTTGGACTAGATAATTCTGTAAGATCATTGTTCCTCTTTAATATGCAATGTTCCCACCACAGGCACCATGTTTGTGTCTCAGCTCTGCTGCCCCCAGCAGAGACCATAGCAGATTACTTGACCTGCCTAAGCTAGTTTCCTCAGACTTGAAATAAAAATACTAACATCAATCTGTTTTATAGAGTAAATGTGAACATTAATTGAAATCATGTATTTAAAGGACTTGGCAGAGTGTCTTGCCCTAGTAATCATTCACTATCAAACATGTTATATTTTCAACAAACCTAGTATTAGAAACTTAGTAGACAGTAGGTTAAATACACACACTGATTGGTAAATGGATTTGTTTTGTAGGTGTAAATTTAGTTTGAAAAGGAAAGATACTTAAAAAGTGGTTCGTGTTTAAGTTTTACATAATATACATCTTGGAGTTTTTTCACTACCTATTCAGACTTTGTAATGTCTATTAAATCATCGTGAGAGACATAGATGAAAAGCCTCATCATCTGAACTGCAATTGATCTTAAGATGTTAGTTTTCTGAAAGAAATGTGTCCAGCTTTTATCTTAATTACCCATCTGTTTTACTTCCTCTGGCAGGAATGCAAATCATTGCATGGAGAGTATGTTGGGCGAGCCTGTGGCCATGAACACCCGTATGTTCCAGATGTTCTATTTTGGTCAGTGATCCTGTTCTTTTCCACAGTTACTATGTCAGCTACTCTGAAGCAGTTCAAGACCAGCCGATATTTTCCAACAAAGGTACTCAGACTATAATTTTCCTGGTCAAAATGCAAAATAACATAAAACATGTTATGGAGTCATACATGTTTGAGGACAAAAGAAAGAGCAATTAATGTGATAAAAGGAGCCACTAAAAGGTTTTTGGTTTGGGTTGGGGCTAGCATGAGGGAGGTGAAAAGGAAGCATTATAGGATACAAGTATATAGTGCACACACCCTCCAGGCTTTTCTCTCAACCACAAATCCCAAGGGGGAAACTTCCAGTTTCACACTTACATTTTTGGAAACGGAAAGCACACACATTCTTGATTGCCGCTCTCTTGCCCAGTCAACAGTGTGATTTGGAACTATTCCATCCTAACAGATACCTCATAGGAACCACAGTTATAGTCTCTAATTGGGAAAGCCCCTTCAAGACTCATTGGTACTTCCTCTCTTTTTCATTTTTAAAGTGTCAGACCCTCCCCTAAAAAAAGCTTCTTAGGTCAATGTTTAGCACAGCAGAGTAATACCTATAATGTCACATTCAGGGGTAGGGGAGAAAAACAGAAAAGAAACAAAGAAACAAGCTCTTTAGGGATGAGCTAAAGATTATAATCAGTATTTCACTCTGGAAAATGTTGCAAGAGCTGGTCTACCACAGAGCTCTTCTGATTTGTTTTTTTTTTTTTTTTTTTCCTCTCCTTCTCTTCCTTTTCTGACTAATGTGAAAGATTAGTTTCTTTTGGCTGAAAGCTTGAGTTGATTAATACAAACTTCTTTTATTTTATTTCTTTTTTGATAAATTGAAATGCTACTTGTTAGCATTTTTTGTGTGTTTTTGTATGTGTCATAAAAGCATCCTAATATAAACCAGATATTGTTGATAATTGTGTGAGGATATTTCCTCAAAGATGGCTTTATAAATGAGAAATGTCTTTAAAAACTGGCTTACCGAGAATAACTTTTGCTGCTGCCATACTTGCTTCTCAGATAAACTAACTAAAACATTATCTTTCTTTACTGCAAATAATTTTATTGTATAAAAATAATTTTATTGTATGGTGCTTTGAGTTTATCAGATTTAAGTATTAACTATGTGAATCTTCTGATTCCCATTTTCAGATATCTGTTTTGTAGCTAATAAATTGCATACCAGGTAACAACAACAACAACAAAAATTAACTAAGTGAAGAAGAACCCTAAAATCCAGCCAAATTCTGGCCATGCAATCTTACTCTATATTCTGTGTTCTGAAGTTTCACACACTTGGGTTTATAATACATTTAGATTTTAAATAAACTTAACAACAGCACAATTATAATTGTAGCTATTCTGTAATGCTTAATTCTGGAAAGGTTGAGTGTATATCAATCTTGACATAGATATATAAATATATATTCAGGTTCTGACAGAGCTAATGGTAATATTATAGCATGCATAAAATGTAATATTGTGATATTATGTCAGAAAGTGTTTATAAAGTGTGACTCTAGATTATGTTCCTGAGTATTCATCACTATTTATAGCTCCTTCAAGTGACAAGTGTTTTCATTATTTCTAGGTTCGATCGATAGTGAGTGACTTTGCTGTCTTTCTTACAATTTTGTGTATGGTTTTAATTGACTATGCCATTGGAATTCCATCTCCAAAACTACAAGTGCCGAGTGTCTTCAAGGTGAAGTTATCATAGCATCTACTATCTGTCCAACTCCCTCTCTCTCTAGGCCTAATCTTCATTTAGATGATGTCTGTAACTCCAATACTTGGGATTTTCTTAAAATTATAAAGAATATAGATTAATAAAGCAGTAAATAAAATGTCCACAACTTGACTAAAATTTTGGTCTAATGTTAAATAAAAAATAAGAATTAAAAAAACAGAAATCTACAGAATACTTGAAAAACTTTTTCTATGAAATTTCCCAGTTGGAATATCTATATACAATGTTCCAGAAAGATAAGGAGCATTTTGACATTAAAGTAAATGTATTATATTAATTCATTTAATAATGGGGCAGAATAACATGGTGGATGGGGCTTGAAATACAGAACAGATTTAAAAAGGTTTGAAATAGAATTCTGCCTGTGTTACTAAGTAGGTATGTGACCTTTGGCCAGTTACTTTACCTTTTCCAGCTTCAGTTTCCTCATCTGTATCACCTTGTTTAGCGTTTGTAAAGATAAAATTAAGTTCAAATATTTAAATGACTTAGAATGGTGCCTGGTATCTTACAAATGCTGTGTAAGTATTAGTTATTATTAAATATAGCATACTTATTTTAGTTTATAGTAGTTTCTTATAGTATCCATAAGATTTAATTTAATTAAGTAGTCATTAATTCAATTAATAACTATGTATATTCTTTTGTTTTTCACAGCCCACAAGAGATGACCGTGGCTGGTTTGTGACACCTTTAGGTCCAAATCCATGGTGGACAATAATAGCTGCTATTATTCCAGCTTTGCTTTGCACTATTCTAATTTTTATGGACCAACAGATTACAGCTGTCATCATTAACAGAAAAGAACATAAGCTAAAGGTATATTTTATCATCCATTTTAATGTAAATCATTCTGATTTAACTGATACCAATTCATACTCATTTGACTTTTCCATATTAAGTATTCATTTATACAGTGAAATAGCAAAATAATATTTTCAGGTTAATACTTTCTTTCAAGATACTTTCTTACAATGAATTTAAATATTATATTTGTTTGCAGCATTTGGCTGAGCTCTGAAGTTTAAGCTTTAGTCCTTTAGGGCCTAAAATCAAAAGCATTGTTAAAGTTCTAACTTTCTTTACCTTGTTTAACATATTTTAATGAAATGACAATATAGTCTGTTAACACCCTTAAAAATGTGTCTTATGATTTGGAGGATATTATGCTGAGTGAAATAAGTCAATCACAGAAGGACAAATATTGTATGAGCCCATTACTGTAAAATGTCAAGGAAAGGTTTACTCAGGGAAGGAAATTCACTTTGTTGGTTACTGGAGATGGGAGGAAAGGGGAAGGAAAATTTCAGACTAGTTAGGGGTCACATGTTGATTTGGGTGAGGGGAGGGATGGTATGGAAAGAGTCTGTGACCAGCAGGATGATACTGGGGAAAGGAAGGACACTGAAATGTACACATAAGATACTGCAACAGAGGCAAATACTATCATATGCACAATACTGCATTACCATGAACACCAAACACCAGGCTAAGGATAAATGCATAGACAGGTGAGAAGATCAGATGGGGGTAGGTGAACAGGAATATACCCTAGACCAAGGATAGATTTGGCTGAAGACAATCTCACATATGCACTTGTGCTACAAAATTAGCCACATGCATTACAGAAGAAATAGAAGACAGAGTTGGAGTAACTTCACAGAGACAACCAAACACCTTGAGAGAGAGAATCACTGGGCCTGCTTTCAGACTCAAGACCATAGTCTCAGGGACATCATGCTCAACTGACACAACATAGTACATGAAAATCTTGTTCTACGTCCTACTTTGTTGAGTAGCAACTAGGGTCTTAAAAGCTTTCGAGTGGCCATCTAAGATGAAACTATTGGTCTCCTCTCATCTGAAGCAAAGAAGAGTGAAGAAAATCAAAGACATCTGGAAATGATTATGCCAAGGATAAGATGGACCATAAGGACCTTCACAGTCCTTCACAGTCCCAAGAATGGAAGAAATAGATGGTGCCTGGCTACCAATGCCAACCACTCGGAAAGGGATTAAAATTGGAGATCCTGGATAGAGTGTGAGGAAAAATGTGCAACAAAATTCAAAAACACAAAAATGGCCAGAATTACTGATCAGATGGAGACTGATGAAACCCCTGACACGATGGCCCCTGCTTACCCTTCAGGCCTGGAAATGGACTCACTTCCATGGATTGGCTCTCAGCCCAACAGTAGAAAGACCTACATACAGAATACCTACCCCAGGATGATGCACCCACCCACTCTAGGGAAATGCACCCTTTAGATCAATCAGCCATGAGACACCAGAGGGGCAGCATTCACATGGAGGGAAAGCTGGGCAGACAGGAGTGCATAGTTAAGAAGGGCACAGGGAGGGGGTAGTCACAGGGAGGGAAGAGGAGGAGAGTTTTTCATGATTGGGGATGGTAATCAGCTGTGAAATCAAATGTACATGAACTGTTGAATGCAAAACATAATTAAAAAGAAAATAGTCTTATGTCTGAGATTCCTCTATTCATTTGATTCTAAATATACCTATTAGATTGCATTTTTGTTCTCCGGTGCCACTCTAACAGAAATACCACAAATGGATGGTTTTAACAAACAGGGATTTATTCTCTTCTAGTTTTGAAGGCTAGAAGTCCAAGTTCAGAGTGCCAGCTCTACAGGCTGAGTGAAGGCCCCTTGACGTTGGGCTTCAGCTTTGCCTCTTGCTCCTGGCCCACTGAAGCAGGACAGTTCTCTTAACTCAAGACAGCTGCTGGCTGCTGAAGCTGACAAACCCAAGGTAGACAAATAAAATGGCACAGTCCCAAGATTACCAAACAACATGGCAGGCCACTAGTTCAAGTTCAGAGACAGTCCCAAGATCAGCAGGAAACATGGCAGTCTGCTGAATGAAGATTTTGCTACATGTAGGGTCCAAGTGTGCCAAAAAGCTCAGACCTTTTTCAAAGCTGTCTTCTCATATGCTAGAAGCAGACCACATCCCTTAGGGAGCTACTCAGCTGCTCCAGTGGATTCCACCATGGAGCTGATTACTAGTCTCACCATGGGGAATAACTACATCCGGCTGCCCAGCCACTTAAAACCAGGCCCAGCCAAGTTGACATACTACCTACCACACGTTGCATTCACGCTTAGAACAAATTACTTCTTCAGATGTTTCTTATTTTCTTCAATTATTCTTTTGTTTGAATTCCTATAACAGCAAAGCCCAACCATAAATGTTAGAATTTGTAAGTGACATTTTAGTTGAGTTTCACTATAGATTTCATTGTTTTTGTTTTTTTTAACAAAATGAGATAACTATATAAGGATATACCTTATATATTATATTCTGACCCTGCCACTTTGCAACTGTTCACTGGTATACAATTTGTCCTAGATACAGTGTGTGAACACTATCAATTTCAGGGAATGTGTTAAATAAAATCAATAAAACAATTAAATGGATAAAACAATTAAATGGCTCGGAGTAATCTGGATCAACCCTTGTAGAACGAGAACATACATGATCTTGCTTTGTGATGGTATCATAGATGTTGTTCAAACAGAACAACCTAGTTGAAAATCAGGAAGGACGTGCATCAGGGTTTTATCCTTTCACCACCAGTATTCAATCTGTATGCTGAGCAAATAATCTGAGAAGCTGGACTATATGAAGAAGGGTGCAGCATCAGGATTGGAGGAAGATTCATTAACAACCTGCAGTATGCAGACAGCACAACCTTGTTTGCTGAAAGTGAAGATAACCTGAAGCACTTTCTGATGAAGGTTAAAGACTTCAGTCTTCAGTATAGATTACACTTCAACATAAACAAAACAAAAATCCTCACAACTGGACCAATAAGCAGCATCTCAATAAATGGAGAAAAGATTGAAGTTGTCAAAGATTTCATATCACTTGTTTCACAATCAACACCAATGAAAGCAGTAGTCAAGAAATCAGATGTCATATTGGACTGGGAAAATCTGATGCAAAAGACCTCTTAAAGCAAAGATGTCACTTTGAAGACTAAGGTGCACCTAACCCAAGTCATGATATTTTCAATCACCTCATATTCATGTGAAAGCTGGACAATGACTAAAGAAGACTGAAGAAAAGTTGATGCTTTTGAGTTCTGGAGTTGGTGAAGAATACTGAATGTACCATGGGCTTCCAGAAGAATGAAAAAATCTGCCCTAGAAGTACAGCCAGAATGCTCCTTGGAAGTGGAAATGGCCAGACTTCATCTCACCTGGTCATTTTGTCAGAAGTAGAAGAATGATATCATGGTAAAGTGGAGGGTCAGTGAAAAAGGGGAAGACCCTCAACAAGATGGATTGACACAGTGGCTGCAATGATGGGCTCAAATATAGCAAGTATTGTGAGGATGGCACATGACTGAGGAGTGTTTTGTTCTGTTGTAGATGGGGTCACTATGAGTCAGAGCCAATTCAATGGCACCTAACCATAACAACATGGGGGAATTAGCAGCTATTTTCATATACTCTTTAAACTCTTGGAAAAAATGGTTAGAGAAATAGAAACCATGCTTTATAGGATTTTATATATGTGTCTGAAATGTTGAAAACTATCTGATGCAATTATTTGATAGAATATAGTAATGATGTAAATTTAAGAAACTATAATTAATTGTAATAAAACTTAGTAGGAAGGAATTTTGTATATATATTAGAGATGTGTGAGTCTATCTTAAAACTAGGAGCATTCTTAATTTTCTTTGGAGCAAGTAACTTACTGGCTCAAAACCTTTTCTTTAAAGTTCATCCAATTCAGTTGTTTTTGCCAAATGAATTTTTCATTAATAAAGATATATTTTACAAAAATATATCATAAAGTCAAAAATATGTTGTTGTTGTTGTTGTTATACTAACAAAAAAAAAAAAAAAAACCCAAACTCACTCCCATTAAGTTGACTCCAACTCATAGTGACCCCATTGGACTTGCAAGACTACAGATCTTTGTGGAAGCAGACCATATCATCTTTCTTCTGCAGAGTGTAGAGGCTGGTGGGTTTGAATCACTGATCTTTTCATTAGCAATCTTAAGCACTACACCATCAGAGCTAGATCAGTGGTGGGCTAATAAATGGTTAACAGCCAGCCCTCTGAGGGGAAAAAAAGAAAGTAAATGATCCTAATTTACCCTGTTTGCTGATTTCTGTGTTGTAAATCTTTTCACCATAGCTGATATCAAGCTCTCATCATGGCTGATATGAATGGCTAGGAAAAAAAATTGAAAATTAAGTGATTGGCACTCACAAGCCGATACTGCTGGGTCCAGTCACTACTGAACTAGTCTGTTCTAAAGTGGAGATTTTGTATTGTCTATTGTTGTTGCTGTTTTTGTTATGTGCCATCAAGTTGGCTCTGACTCATAGCGACCCCTCCTTGGGTTGCCGAGGCAGTATCACTACGGAAGTAGATTGCCCAGTCTTCCTTCCGAGGAGTGGCTGGTGGGTTTGAACCACCAGCCTTCTGGTTAGCAGTCAAGTGCCTTAGGCACTATGCTACCAGAGTTGACCTCAAAACAAGGAATTAGGATTCCCAAGTTTAGCAATTATAATTTAATATCAACAAGTTAAAAAATGTTATTTACTTTGAAAATATTAGCTTTATAACCTCTGCAAAAGTAAATATTACCACAATTTCTATTATTATTAAAATTATGTATTCATTTAGATAGTTCTATAAAACAAGATCAAACACTTTTTGATGAATATTGCTTTACTCTACTACTTTCTAAGAAGTAGGAAAACATTTTTCCTAGATACCAGTTTATATTTTAAACTAAATACATCTATATTTTTTGGATTATAAGTTAATACATGATTTTGGTTTAAAAAAAAATCAGGCAATGGTGGAACCACTGAGACTATGGCCCCTAGTTGCCCTTCAGGTCTGGAATTGAACCCACACCTGTGGTTTCCAGCCAAACAAAAGACAGACATAAGAGTTGAAGATTTAGCTCAAGTAGATACACTCCTTGGAGAGAACAATCATGGGAGAAAGAAGGGCTGCTTATGCACAGGGAGACAGCTCAGGGGGCAGGAGTCCATGGAGGGATGGACACTGGGAAGAGGTAACTAGGGGGAGGAAGTGGGAGGGGAGCTGTTGCATTGTGGTAAGCTGTGGTCAATGTCATGAGACAAAGTATATGTGAACTACTGTATGGAAAGTGAATTTGCTCTGTAAATCTTCACTCAAATCACAATAAAAAAATAAAATAAAAAAATCAGACAATACAAAAAGTTAAAAGAAAAACGTGGAAAGCCCTTACCATTTCATTATCTGGAAATAACATTGTTAATAATTTTTATATATGTCAAATATATTTTTTCATACTATATATATTGCTTATATTTTTTATGTAATAGCACTGCCATGGTAATCATCCCATATCAACAGTATAAATCTTTATTATCATTTTCAATGGCCATATATATTTCATTGTATGATACATGTATTAAAATAAAATCATGACTCCTGTTTTGGAAAGTAAGCCATATAATCATCATTTACCTTTCAAAGAAATTTGTTTCCAGCCCATATATTAGGGAGAAATCCCGCTGATTTTACAGAAAAATTAGTCTGTGTAGAGGCTATCAGTTAAACTGACTCAGGCAGTACATTTTCCAAGTATTAATAGCATCATATTAAAACACAATCTGTAAGTAAGTGAACGTTTGCTAACAGCAATGTGAAATTTTTGTTCTTTCTGTCCTCTTGTTCTTTCCAGGTCTTTTGAACTTTATAAATCACACAGCACTTGCTCCTTGTTCTTCATGAGCCTACAGCAGGCCTTTGACATTCATAGGCCTTCCAAAGGACAAATCTGAAAATATATACAAATATACTTTATTTCCCCCCTTTATGTATAGTGCAAAGTACTAAAATATAATAAAGCATTCTTTTAATGGTCCTTTCAAGCACTTACATTTATAGAATTAAATGCAGAACTAAACCATAACTTGAGGGAGCTCTGGTAGCATAGTGCCTAAGGCGCTTGACTGCTAACCAGAAGGCTGGCAGTTCAAACCCACCAGCCACTCCTAGGAAGGAAGAGAGGGCAATCTACTTCTATAGTGATACTGCCTCGGTAACCCAAGGTGGGGTCGCAATGAGTCGGGTCCGACTCGACGACACATAACAACAACAATAAATCATAACTTGAAGTATACCTAAAGAAATGTTAAACTGGCAAGTGTGTTTTACACTTTTAATTGTTGTGTGTTTACAACAATTAAAAATAATAATAACTTGAGACTGCATTACTTAACCTTTCTTATTATACTATAAATCACTTTGGAGTCAAAATTTTCATGTTTTTGCCCTTTAACTCCCTGGGGTTTGGTAAACAATAGAGCAAATATGGCTTAATCAGAAACCAAGTTGACTCTGACTCATGGTGACAATAGTGTTGTATTACCCAATAAGGAAGGTTAGCATAGGCTTGTGCTTACTTACTAATCTGTAGTGAACAATTTCACATTTTTTTCACCACATCAGAGATTCTGCTTCTAGGTATGGCTGGCATCTGACTCTCTCCCAACCCCATAGCACCTACCTACAGAATCAAAGCCTCTTTTCAAATATACCAGCTGCTCCATGGGAGAAGATGAGAGAGTGCTTCTGTAAAGATTTACAGCCTTGGTAACCCTATGGGGCATTTCTACTCTGTCTACAGAGTAACTGTAAGTTAGAATCAACTTGATGGCAGTGGTTTTCGTTTGTGGGTTCTGACAGGGATGGAGTACCCAGTAAACAAGATAAGCATGGGCTTACTTGTGCTTACTTACTCATTTATAGTGAACAATTTCACTTAAGTAATCTGTAAGGAACAGTTTCATATGTGAAATTGTTCACTACAGATCAGTAAGTAAGCACAAGTAAGCTTGTGCTTACCATGCTTATTGGGTACTCTGCCTCTGGTGATCCCATGTGTATCAGAGTAAACTGTGCTTCATAGGGCTTTCAATGGCTAATTTTCTGGAAGTAGATCTCCAGGCCTATTCTAAGTGGACTCAAACCTCCAACCTCTCAGTTAGCAACCAAACATATTGACTGTACCACCTGTGGAATCCTGGCTTAATTAAAAACTCAGCTATCTTGTCACAAAGTGGAAGAGTCCTTCTGTTTTTGGCCACTATGAATCCTAACGCTCTGCTTTCCTCCTTGAATATATGCACTTTCAAAGCAAATTCCTTCCGGTAAAGATATGTTTTATCTACACTGAACACATATTTTTGGCTTACAACCAGAGGCAGATTGTTCGCTACAGATTAGTAAGTAAGCACAAGTAAACCCATGCTTATCTTGTGTATTGGGCAATCTGACCCTGCCTATAATCCTTGTCTTCTATCAAGTTCAGTAAAGAGTGGTCTACTGATGTTGGTTTTCCTGCTAACAGCAATGACAACAAAATAAATCGACTTCTCATAACATTCTTTACTCAGAGGAACAGTTTGTTCCTTTTGTTCCTGTTGCTTTGGTGAAATGTTTGTAAAGTCTCCTGGCTTTGACTTAAACCACATTTTCACCATGAGACACGTGTTACTTCAGCACATCCCCAGACCAAAAGTGAACCACATTTTCAGTTTTCACTCATTTTTCTTTCTTCAATTGAAAACCATTTTGCCTTGGTTGGAGCATTCCCTGAAATGGTTTGATGAATCATGTTTTCTAGTTTTTGTACCAAGCGCCTGGTAGACTGCACATCGTGTATCTGAGTCCACATCCTATATCCAAGTCATCTCAGAATGCCTCATTTCATTATTTCTCCCAAACTTAGAGTTTGGATCTTTTCATTTTTTCTTCACCTTCATGTGAAGTTGCCATGAGTTGGCATCTACCTCTAGGGCAACTAACGAGAACAAAATTACCAGGACTAGTAATTGGTTTTATTTTAGGGAGTGAGTTGCATACCAATGAAAATGTTTTTATCATTTAATGAGTGTTACTACATACCCAATGAAGCTGGCTAAGTTGCAGAGGCTAAGGTCAGCTCAGCTGGCTAAGGGACTTAGTTCTGCACCTCAGTCTCAGAATGAAAGAACTCAAAATCAGAAAACTTACTACACCTTGTGATCTTTGGGTCTCTCAACAGTGATAAAAGCTACAAATGAAAATATTTGAGAATGGCAAATATCATATATATCATATATAAATATAAGTGGAAATACAGATTATAGATCCATATTCTCTCTAGTATTTTTTAATTTCTTCCCTAGAGAAGTAGGATAAGTATAGACAACATTAATCTCTGAAAAATGTTGAAAGTATCTATTTGTTTTTTCTTTTAAGCACAATCTCTTAAGAGTAAAAACAAAGAGAGATATTATCTTACAGAAAAAAAGTTCCTGTTAAAATACAGTTATGGGTTTTACTACATGTTTCTGTAGACAGTTCAGGCTTCTTTTGACATCATTTTTAATAAACAGCAATACAACTCAGATCACTTGAGTAAATGAATGCATTTGCAACATTCACTTGGCACCACATTCTCTTGATGATTATGGCATTTGATATGTTCTTTTTTGCCCTCTTTGTCAGCCTGGTTCTTCATGTCAATCTATAGTCTTTTATGTGGTTAACTTGACAGATGCAGGAAATTGCTGCCAAGCTCTGAAATGCATTTGTTCAGCAGTGGCATCTGGGTATCAGATGGTCCTCTTGGCTGGCCTCTTGTCTTGCTGCATGTTGGTTTTAGTGGGGTCTGGTGTAGCATCACCTGTTGCTATGCTCCCTTTTCCTCCCATATGTGCATTTCCCGTGATTCATGGATGAATGTGAGAATAAAAACTCTGCTTCTGTCTTTATTTGAGAAAAAAATCTACAAAAATATGTTAAAAGGTGCAGAGTTCTCTCTCTGACAAAGGGATACTTCCCTTTGGCTGGCATGCATATCAGCTACTAATTTGGTTACAAAGTCCAAGTTTTAAAGACATTTAAATGAAAGACAAGAGGAAGGATGCTGATTAATTAGTGGGATTGCCAGAACTGCTTTATTTTCTTTGATTTGCATTGAATCAAGATGCACTGTTGTTGTACAACACAATCAGAGGGGAATTGTATTTTCTGTTTTTATTATACATTTGTACTTTCCAAAGCTCTCTGTCTAAGTTTATAAAGGAAATTACTACCTATGAACATATTATTTTGTCTGCTTCCCACTCTTTACATTTGAATCATATTTTTAAAACACTAATTTTTTTTGCATGAATTAATGAATGACTAGATATGTGAATCAGTTGTGAATTATGTTGCTCATTTAAGGAAACTATAACAAGTAACTCTATTTGAAAATGACTTTACATATCCAATGGAAATAGAATAAAACAAATGTAACTTTAACTCAGGAGCACATTACACCTATTGGAGTATTTAATAGTTACTATATATAACTGCCACTCCTCGGAAGGAAGGTTGGGCAATCCTACTTCCGTAGTGATACTGCCTCGGAAACCCAAGGAGGGGTCGCTATGAGTCGGGGCCGACTCCACGGCACATAACAACAACATAACAACAACAATATATAACTGCAATAGCAACATCTGTCTTTGGAACTTTTCTTGAAGTGGGTTATATATTTTGCGATTATTACCTTTTTTTGCCTTTAGTATATGTTTCATTTTAGAACTAGTTGTGTAAATATAAGATAGTGCCTCTTTTCTGTTGTTACTGCTCCATGGTAGTGATGTCATTTGTCTCTACCTAACTTCAGGTCCTCTGAAAATCTTTTTCTCTTTCTTTTTTTTTTAACAGAAAGGTTGTGGGTACCATCTGGACCTACTAATGGTAGCTGTTATGCTTGGTGTGTGTTCCATCATGGGCCTGCCATGGTTTGTGGCTGCCACAGTCCTCTCCATCACGCATGTCAACAGCCTAAAACTGGAATCCGAATGTTCAGCTCCAGGAGAGCAACCCAAATTTCTCGGCATTCGAGAACAAAGGGTTACTGGGCTTATGATTTTTGTTCTAATGGGTTCATCAGTTTTTATGACCAGTATTCTAAAGGTAATAAAATTTGCCTTTAGGAACTTGAGAAACGGTAGAATATATTTATCATTGTTTAAGGAATTTCAATTGAATCTAAGCAGTAAATTTGTAAATATTGTGTGGCATATGATGAAATTATTATTTTTTTTGCTATGTTTATATAATACTTTTTAACCTACCCAAACCAAAACCTACTGCTGTCAAGTCTATTCCAACTCGTAACAACCCTATAGGACAGAATAGGACTGCCCCCTAGGGATTCAAGTCTACAAATCTTTATGGAAACAGACTGTACCATCTTTCTCCAGAGAGCTGCTGGTGGTTTTCAACCTCCAACCTTTTGGTTAGTAGCTGAGTGCTTAACCACTGCACCACTAGGCTCCTCTTTTTAATTGAAGGGGGAGGAATTTTAGCATCCTTAAATATATAAAAATTTAGCCTAACAAAGTAAAATTTAAATGTGTAAATTATTACCATAATTTTGAATTGGTTATCAAGCTATGGGAAAAAAATCTTTCATTATTTCTGACAGACTTGTGATCTGAATTCACTACAGGCTTACACAAATAAAGTTTCTATTTTCTTGTCAGTGGACAGACATATTTGGAATTAATATAACTTAGTGTAAGATAGAAGTGCAAAGATGAGAACAGGCATATCCATGGTTACATATGCAGTTTACAATGACAATATCATTGCATACACTCATTTTTTCACACTTAAAAGTATTGGACTCATTTTGAAGAGCATTAATGGGTAATTATTTTGTCATATAATTTTGGCAGATATTTTCAAAGTGCAGAGATTACATTTAAAATTGTAACTAATTTTAGTTGTCTATAATTTGAAAACTTTAAATTATTTAATCAGAAGTACATTTACAAGATTTAATTTCTATATTAAATCAGCAATTTTCTGATAATGATAGGAGAATGCTGATATATTCCAACAAAAAGAGAAAAATTCCACAATCTGCACATTTACAAATATCTGACATAATGTATGAACAGCATCTACATTTAGCTTTAATCAAATTTTAGTCTTTAATCCAAATATCTTATTATTTTGAAACAAAACTCAAATTATCTTTAAACTGATAGGATAATACTAATAATGGTTAATATTTATTGTTTATTATTTACTGGATGGGAGCTCTGGTAGCATAGTGCCTAAAGCACTTGACTGCTAACCAGAAGGCTGGCGGTTCAAACCCACCAGCCACTCCTTAGAAGGAAGATGGGGCAATCTAATTCTGTAGTGATACTGCCTCAGAAACCCCAGGAGGGGTCGCTATGAGTTGAGTCTGACTCGACAGCACATAACAACAACAAAAACAACATTTACTGGATATTTTAAAAAATAGGTTTTGACTTATTTAATAGTCATAACAACACTATTGCTATCTTCCCTTTTAAGAGATTGGGAAACTAAGACAAAGAGAGTTCAAGTAATTTATCTAAGGTTACACATCTAAAAAGTGCAGAGCTGGAATCTGAACTCATGTCTTTTGGCTCTGCTCTATTACTGACTCTAAAATATATTATTTTTGTTTTTGTTTTTATTTTGGTAAGTGTAAAATTACGTGATAACATTATAGGTGAAAATAACTTGTACCTTTCTCTAATTGTTCTTTTACAGTTTATTCCCATGCCAGTGCTATATGGAGTGTTTCTTTATATGGGTGCTTCATCTCTAAAGGGAATTCAGGTAAATTATTGTAAATATGCACACCTGGGATGACTGTCTTAAGGTTTATTGAAACTAAGTCATGTGATAGCTAAGAAAATTACATCATCTGAGGGAGCAGCTTTTAGACTAGAATTAAATTTCTCCAAACTGCTCAGATTTATAAAAATTAAAGAAGACTGAGACAGAGTCCTCATCAGCAACTAAGATTCATAATCTTAGGGTACTTTTGTTTACCATAAGTATATTAAAACTGTATGAGATTTAGGTCTTTTAGAAATAACAGTACACTTAAAAATACATTCAATAACTTACCTTTGACACTGTAATTATATTTATGGACATTTACTCATGAGAATGAAAAAGTTTAGACTCAAAAATATTGATTGTAATATGTACTATCAAAATATTGGAAACAACCCAATTATCCAACAGCAATAATCTATGGTACATTTCCTGAAAGTTGATAATTAGTTAGTTGGTACGTGGCAAAAATGTTTATGATATGATACAAAGGAAAGAGTAGTTTCATAGTTTTATAAAGCTATGCACAAGGGCTGCATTAGAAGAGAAGATGGAGAAAGGAAACAATATATTAGGTTAATATTCTGGCTGATTGTTCTTTTATGTTTATTTTTCTATTATTAGAAATACATTTCTAGAATTGTTTGTAAAATTAAAAACAAGCCTATAGGATAGTTGTCAAAGTATAAGACACCCCTGAAGTATTGTTTAAGTAAGTGTAACCCACTGCTGTCAAGTCGTATCCGACTCATGGTGACCCTTCCTTGGGTTTTCAAGGCAGTATCACTACAGAATTAGATTGCCCAACCTTCTTTCCAAGAAGTGGCTGGTGGGTTTGAACTGCCAGCCTTCTGGTTAGCAGTCAAGTGCCTTAGGCACTATGCTACCAGAGCTCCTTAAGTACGTGTAGGTTAAATAAATATGTGTTATGTTTTCTATTGCTGCATAACAAATTATTCCAAAACTTAGTGGCTTAAAGCAATAAACATTTATTATATCACAGCTTTTGTCTGTCATGAATTTAGAACAACTGAGCTAGTTGATTCTAGCTCAAGATGCCTCATGTAGTTGCCCACAGGATATCTGTGGGCTGCAGTCATCTGAAGGCTTGACTGGCGCTGGAAGATCTGGTTTAAAGATCACTCACTCCCATGTCTCTGGACAGAAGACCTCAGTTTCTCTATGGCTATTGTTATGGAGCCTCAGGATTTTTTTCCCCACAGGGACCTCTCCATAGGATGCTTGAGCCTCCTCACAACATGGCAGCAAACTTCTCCCAGAGTGAGCAACCTGGAAAAGAGAGAGGATAAAGTCAGAATTCCTTTGGACCTAGTCTCCAAAATCACACACCATCACTCACACTTTTTCTAAATATTAGAAATCAGTCACTTAGTTCACCTTGAATTCAAAGGGAGGGAGAATCAAAAAATTTGTGGACATAGTTTTAAACCACAAATAGTATGTTCTAAATTTTTACAGGGGCTGATGGCAAATCCCTCCTGCTTATTTCTTAGATGCTATCAACTTAAGTTTGCCTTTGAATAATCTTATTTTATAAATTAACATTATTTAGCAAAAAACTTGAATTTTCTTGAGTTTAATTTTAAGGCTTATTTATTGTACAGTTTGTCTTTTGTTGACTAAAAGAAAATTATGAATCACAACTTATTCTATGCCACAACTAGACTCACTTATATTCAAAAACATATGAAGGAGAAATCATTTGACTGGGGTTCAGGCAGCACAGGACCTCATCTTCTGGATAAATGACCAATCAGCCTCCTATTTTGGAAAAAGAAAAGGAACTTAGGCCTTAGAACAGTATTGGGTCCTAAATCTGAGGTAAAACTTCAATATGAAGTCACTACAAGGTCAATGAACACCCAAACTAATAAGATAACTGTTTATCCTGACGCTAGGTAAAAGTGACTTGTGAAAGGAAGATGCTTGAAGGCATAATGTGTTTAAATGTTACTAAAATTATATCTTATTTGCTCATTTAAAATTGCATGTATGAAAGTATATTTTGATAAAATTTGCTTGTTAAGGCAGATAAGGAAGAAGGCTGAAGAGATTGTGTTTATTTGTTTAGCTGGGGTTTTTTTTGATGGTTTGTTTTTTGTTTTTTGCCATTGGCAAATGTTCCACGAGTACTGATTTCATCTCTAAGTGAAAAGTATTTATTATTAGGCCTCAGGCTCACATAAATACAGCAGCAGAAGTTTAAGAGACAAAGTAATACCATTTTGATAGATTTCAACAGATTTCCCCCACTAATTCTACTCACATGATTTTATGCTCATGAGGTTTAGAATTAAACAAAAATGTCAAGTTTTGGAATTATTTGTGGTGTGAATCTTTCAAATGAAAATTGAGGAAAACATTATCAAAGATCTGAGATAAAAGTATACTGAGTTTTAAATAGTCACAAATGAAACAGCAAGCAGGATCACACAGAAAGAAAAAGGGTCTTGTGCTGAGAAATCAGTAAAAATGAAAGCGAGCAGTTGAAATTCCTGTTTGGAATTATGGCTACCTGGAAGAGGGAGATGGGATATTGGTATTAGGACAAGATAAAAGTCATAATGCAAAACTCAGAATACATTTGTCATAATTGTTGTTACTTGAGTAGTAATAAATAAATGTGTTAAATATTAACAGTTCAAGCAGCACATGAAGGAATCTATATGTTACCTGGTTGTTTAGAAATATTTTTAAAACTTATTATCTAGGCTTCTTACTGTGAAATATGGCAGAAAAAAAACAGATCACAGTGTTCTCACGAATGCTGTTTCTTTATTCAGATATGTAACCACATCTATATTCATTCCAACACTTCAGGAATCTAAAGTAAAGCAAATGTGCCATTTAAACAACAACAATTGAAGCACCCACACACTGAAGTACACTTATGCAATGACATAGCTCCACAAATTGGGAAATGGTGGCTGAGAAAAATTAGTTTCATAGAAACTGAAATAATTCCATTTTAAACCAGGGGCTTTTATTTCATTTTTCCACTGACGACCCACTTCCACCTTGCACCAAGTTTTATTTATTTGTTTGTTTATTGGCTTCTAACTTTAAGAGATATTTAGGGCTAGAAATGAGAAGACTTAATGACATATATGTTGGTAGTCTGGAGAAGGATGAACCAAAGATAACTTATGTGCTGGTGATCTGCTTCCATAAAGACACAGCCTTGGAAAACCTAGGGGGCAGTTCTACTTGTCCTGTGGGGTCACTATGATTGGAAATGATGGCACACAACACCGCCAACTCTGCATAGAAGGTTTTCAATTAATCTTTTTAGAAAGTATCAATAGGTAGGAGTGAATGAATGAGTGAATAAATTAGCATGTGTATGATTCTGGTTTAAATGATGATCAAGGAAGGGATATGCCATATCCTAAAACAGTGAACACAGAAGAAAAAAGGCTTATGTTGAGTTTGAGATTCCTATTATACCTCAAGCAGGTTTTGGTATAACAAGTTTTGACCCTAACATTTTGACTCTTCATTATAATTTTGAAATATTTGATGACAATTGCTTATCATTTTCTTATAGATTAACCCAGAAATAAAATCTAATATTCCTCTCTAGAAAATGTACAATTGATATTACTTTAGACATAGCATGAGATAGAATTGAAAGTTATTGAAATCATCATTTTCTAAATAGTCAATTTATGTGGGATACATTGAAAACTGCAAAATTGGTCTAAGAAAAAGTAAATGAAATTATCCATATAAAATAAAACTACCAAGTAGTAACATTTATTAGTAAGTAATATATAATAGAAGAATTAAAGCTTCTAATGAAAATATAATTTATAAAATCTGAATTCAATCTATAAAATTTGGTTTGGGAGATAAAAATGGCTCAAAGCCTAAGTTATAACAATTAAATTTATATCATCTGAGAATAATAAAATTATCTTTATGGTTAAATTCAAACAGAAACATTATTGATCCAGATGAAAATAATTTTAATAAAATATGTAAATGGTTTGACTGTATAGTCATTGATCAAGAAATTAAATTGAGTAAACAAAAAGTTTGCTCTGGAAATACTTTCTTAATCAAAATTCATCTAGGTTAAATTTTTATGGTTTTGGTCTTATAGTTGTAAAGACAGCATCAAAAACTATTAGGGATCAAAGTGTCAAGGTCAAAACAGCAGAGTTAAAATAAGGTCAAAACATCCTACTCCGCAGCTGATTATGAGTCTAGATCTCCAAAGAGAGAAACCTGACGTAGAGATCTAGGTCTCTGAAAGTTGAAACCACGGGTGTGGATGAAATATTCCTGGAGAGGACAAAGAATGGAAGTCCAGAAAGACCTGATAATTAACTGTCAGATAAAGGAAAAGATTATGATCTGACCAAAAGGAATGATGATTATGTTTTATTTTTCAGGGCTTCTGCTTGTTTTTATGTGCCATCGAGTCATCTCCGACTCATAGCGACCCCTCGTTGGGTTTTCAAGGTGGTATCTCTACAGCAGTAGATTGTCCAATCTTCCTTCTGAGGAGTGGCTGGTGGGTTTGAACCACCAACCTTCTGGTTAGCAGTCAAGTGCCTTAGGCACTACGCCACAAGAGCTCCCATATATACATTAGATTAAATAATTTTTTAACTTTTCTAGATTACAAAAGATGTGGAATATTAAACTGAAATGGTAGTATTTCAAAGTGAATGCATAATAATCCCATTGTTCTAATGCTCAGACGTCAGATGAAGTATGATTCAGATATGTCATGTGAACCTAATATTTTAGATTTCTGTAGACCTTTACTTTCCCTACTTCCATTGTTGTACTACTGTGAAAAGCAATTTAGTCTATTTATCTTGCAGTTGTTTGATAGAATAAGGCTCTTTTGGATGCCTGCAAAACATCAACCAGATTTTATATACCTAAGGCACGTACCTCTTCGAAAAGTTCATCTCTTCACAATTATTCAGATGAGTTGCCTTGGCCTTTTGTGGATAATAAAAGTTTCAAGAGCTGCTATTGTGTTCCCCATGATGGTATGAAACTTCTAAGCCATCTTTCTTTCTCTTCTGATTTTCTGTTCTTATTGGAAACATGTGAACTTACATTGGAACAATAGAATAATTTCAAACAATTATTGGAAAGCCTAATACAAATTTTAGCAACTAAAACCAGTGATTAAGTTAGGGTTTGAGATATTCTATGAACTTCAGTGATGCATATTAGTTTTATCTCTTCAGAATTCTGAATATTAGTAGTAGTTTAAATTAGGTTGAAGTTGGATGGAATAGTATAAACTTTTAAAATTTAACGTAAAAGATAACACTAACAATCTGAAACGTTTGGGTGTTTAAAGTAAATTTTATTAAATGTTTCATTTCAAATACTTCATGAGTCTAGTTATAGAAAGACAGTAAATAATTAATTAAAAATAATATCAGCATAGATAAGAATGGTTTAATGTTCTTTTAAAGTAACATGAAATATTAACTATATGGTTTAAGGAAACATTTAAATGCATTTTACAGTTGCTTTAAGCTTCTTCAAAAGGTTGTGATAATGGATAAAATCATAACCACTATTCTGAGCAGGTAATGAGAAAAGACAATGAAAAAGGCAAAAGTCCAAATAATATGTTTCATGAATATATACCTTCAATATTTGTTTTAATCTTGACTGTAATTTGAATTGAGTTGTCACGCTCCCCCTAAAAAAGAAATAATACCCTACATTTTCCATTTCTACTTTCTCTGTTTTAAACTCATTTATTATTTGCTTCAGGTATTAGCTCTAGTATTTGTAAGAAAGTTAATGGACTTGCTATTTACCAAACGGGAACTCAGCTGGTTGGATGATTTAATGCCTGAGAGTAAGAAAAAGAAACTGGAAGATGCTGAAAAAGAAGTAAGTCAGAGCAAAATCAGTATCTTACTTTTTTTCCTTCTTTAAAAAACAAAGAAGACACTTGCATAGTAATAACGCTTCAACACAAAGTTACTGTATTTTGCCTTTAAAGAGTTAGTGATTACTAACAACCACAGATTAACTACTTTGGGAGTTTAATGTTTAAAATTATAAACTTGGGATTTTAATAGAGAAAGAATGAAGATATTACATGAGGAAATCAAACTCTAATGAAATACTTAATTGTAAGGTTTATTTTTCTGATTATTTGAAGGGTAATTAAGTTTGTTTTTTTCATATGTGCCCTGTGGATGATAGAAACTTACTGATGTTTTACTACTTCCAAATTTACGGCCATATAATGACTGCATTTTGGTTGAATATCTGAGTAGAAAATAGGAAGATACTGTTATAATTGGTATTTTTCTATGGAAAAGGTTTTCATTAAAAGATTCTAATAAAAAATTATTCTTGAAATAAATGAAATACTTAAGAGGAAGAAATGTTAATCTGAGTTATTTTCAAAGTGATTTATTACAGTAAATATTGTTTGAGAAGCTTTTGGGATTTAATTACTATCATGAACTTCTAACTTGTTTTTCTGTTTCATATATTAAAATAATTTGCTTTAAGTTTTGTGAAATTATTAAAGTTCAAGTGTAATTTTGGGTCTATTTTAAAGGCTAGTAATCAAAAACATTTTTAAGGTATATAAAATTATGCAGACTATAAATGAAAAAAAAGTGACCAATACATTTAGCAAAAGGATTGATCCAATGGAATGTGAAAAATAAAAGCAAAAATTTTTATGTGAATAGAAATGAAGTTAAAAGAATGTATTTAGGTAGAACTGTGCAGCATTCTATTCATTTTCCCTTCTTCTACAAGGAGGTCAGCAAATATAGTTAGTGTCCTTCTTATAGAATATTATCCCAGGCCAAGGATATATTCCTCTCCCCTTTGGAGAATTCATTCGCAAACATTTTCTGGGATATTAGACTTTGCTCAGTCATTTAGTGAGGCTGGTTGAAGCCACAAAGTCTGATGAGCTTTCTGTTCAGATGTTTGACAAATAAAGGTACTCTAATTCTTTCATTTCTTCATGATGTCCTATCACTGACAATGGATTCTCACATTTGGTGATCAATCATGATGATAGATCTTAATGCCATCTGAATATTTCAGTTTCCCCAACTGATGTAGAAGGCATACTTAGCATCTTATTTCTAATATTATAAATACATCTTTAAAATATCATAGTATGATATCATTATAATTCTTTGGTTTTTTTCTAGGCTTGAGGTAGAGATTTTTATTGAAATATATGAGATTTTATTTTTTTAAATAAGACTTTAACTAGAATAGTTTGATGGTCCCCATCTTTTTTAGGGGCTTAGTTTTAGAAAATATTTGCTTTCATCTTCAGATACTATCTGAGAGAACTATGACAGAATTGGGAGCTCTGGTAGTGTAGTGCCTAAGGCACTTGACTACTAACCAGAAGGCTGGTGGTTCAAACCCACCAGCCACTCCTCGGAAGGATGATTGGGCAATCTAATTCCATAGTGATACCACCTCAGAAACCCAAGGAGGGGTTGCTATGAGTCGGGTCTGACTTGATGGCACATAATACCAACAACAAATGACAGAATTGGACATATATTAAATTTTAATAAGACATAGACCAGAATATAGGCATTCTAAAGCCTTAAATGTCCATACTTAAAGTAATTAAAATCATTCAGATTGAAAACCATTTCTAAGGTTTAAATTCCTAAGAAGACAATTTTGACTACGGAAGGTACTGACCATGATTTTCCTACACTTTCTGGTAATGTAATAATACTAAGCATACTAAAATTGCAACTTGTAATTTTTCTACTTTGATTTCCTCACAAATGTCTTTACTCTGCTGGAATGAGCAGAAACAACCCCAGGCATATAATCATTGCTTACATAAGCATTCTGTTACCATATTCATACTATAGAACGTTCTTGCCCTTGTTGTTGTTGTTGTTATGTGCCGTCAAGTCAGCCCTGACTCATAGCGACCCCTCCTTGGGTTTCCGAGGCAGTATCACTACGGAAGTAGGATTGCCCAACCTTCCTTCCGAGGAGTGGCTGGTTCTTGCCCTTAGAACCCTATAAAATGAAAATCTATATACATACATATTTGAATGTACTGTAAGAATGTCCATATAACTAGAATTAACAGGGAGCAATTTTATGATAAGTCCTTAGGAATAGTCAATCACCCTGATGGAGCAAGTTGTTGGGCCTCTGGGCTCGAGATCATGGTCACAGGGGACATCAAGCTCAATAACATACTACACAAAAACATTTTTCTACATCCTATTTTGATGAGTAGTGACTGGGGTCTGAAAGCTTGCAAGCATCCATCTAGATGCAGCAATGGGTCTCTTCTTGTCCAGAGCAAAGAAGAATGAAGAAAACCAAAGATGCATGGAAACAATTAGTCCAAGGGACTAGAGGACCATGTGAACCTCAGTCTATATGGCCATGAGACTAGACCTAGATGGTGCTCAGCTACCACTGTCAACAACTTGGAAGGGGATCAGTGCAGGATATCCTGGATAGAGTGGGAGAACAATGTGGAACAAAACTCAAAATCATAAAAAAGACCAGATTTACTGATCTGAAAGAGCCTGGTGAGACCCCTGGGGCTATGGCCCCTATTTACCCCTCAGGCTTGGAATTAAACTCCCGTGGCTTCCAACCAAATAATAGACAGGCATATAGGGTGAACATTTACACCCTAGATATACTCCTTAGAGCAATCAATCGTGGGAGAATAGAAGGTCAGTGTTTGCACAGGGGGGAAGCTCTGGTGGTGTAGTGCCTAAGGCATTTGACTGCTAACCAGAAGGCTGGTGGTTCAAACCCACCAGCTACTCCTCAGAAGAAAAGTTGGGCAATCTACTGCCCTAGAGATACTGCCTCAGAAACTCAAGGAAGGGTTGCTATGAGTCAGATCTGACTGGATGGTAGTGAGTTTGTTTTGTTGTTTGTTTGCACACGGAGATAGCTCAGGGGGCAGGAATGCATAGGAAAGAAGGACACAGCTAAGAGGTAACTACAGGGAGGAAGTGGGAAGAGAGCTGTTACACTGTGCAGAATTGTAGTCAATGTCATGAAACAAAATGCATATGAACTGCTGAATGGAGAATGAATTTGCGCTGTAAACTTTCACCCAAATCACAATAAAAATTAGGAGAAAAAAAACCTAAATATGGTTTGTTTAAGACCCTTCCCTTCTATAATTCAAAGACAATTTCAAATTCACTCGTTATTTGTCTGTAAAGTGAGAAAGAACAAGTTTGTTTTTAATCATAAGTTTATTAGAATTTGCTGTATCTGTTGCCCAGAACCACTCACATTACTGTTTGTATGGTGCTTATCCATATGTGTATCATATTCCACCTTGGAATTTATTTATCTCAGATATATAGAGATTCTATGTAATGTGCTTCTCACCGTTTTATATTGTATACCCATTTTACTCCAATGGCTATTATAGTGTTTTCTGATTATAAGGATGAAGATTTTTAAAAGTAACTTAAGTATTATTAAATTTCCTATGACTCAAGTTTTCTGGAAGGATACAAAGCTAATTTAAAAATTTATTGGAAACAAATTTACAGCTGTATCCTACAAATCTGCATATGAGAAAAAGTGGGGGAAATGTCTTACAACAAACCAAGCAGGTTTAAAGAGCCTTGAAAGCACAAATAGATTGAGACAATGGCATTTTCATGTGATCTTCAGTACATGGGAAGAGAAAAGAGAGCCAGGAATACAGTGGAGAAATCATTCACACTTAAGCATTAAAATATATTGCTGACCAGTGCGAAGAAAGATAATTCTCCATCTGACAAATGGAGAGAGAAAAAGAAGTTTTAAAACACTGACTTTCTAGCTTGGAATTAGTACTAAAAGAGTATGATTAGTACAAAGATTAGGAAGCTTTAAGAAGAGTTAAGCTAAAACTTAAATAACGGGTTGATTTTTTTACTTGCTCCCCAGATCTCAGTAGTCCATCTTTTTGAGGCTTGTGGACTCTAGTGAAGGATGTGATCTTACTGTAGCATCCTGTACCAATGCCCAGTCTTCCAGGGTATTGTGCATTAAGGTTGTAAACAGACAAGTTCTCCAGAAACGTTGCATTCTGGAATTGCTCAAATTAATTGAGTAACTTTGATCGTGATCTGGCAAGATGGTAAATAGCAGAAATGTCTCAGCTCCCTAAAACTTGAATTTAAACTAGGCTCACCTCTTGTCCTTTTGATGATAGTTACAATCTTGTACCTTTATCCTCCAGGGTGTTCCTATCAGTAGCCCACTTCTAGTCTTATGGCATTGAGAAAACATTAGTTTGACCTTAAAATTCAATAATGCGTTAAGCAGAATAAATAGCTACACAGGCCAGTCCAAGGTCGCAGAGCTTCTGTTCCAAATTTTCATGTACTTCATGCATATGCATATGCATATGCTTCAGTTTTCAGGAAGAAAGGATTATAATCAGGGTAGAAATGAATATTGGAACCCTGGCATTGTGCACATTGCTCTGTGTAAAGAGAAGACTGAAGAATCAAATTCTGGATGCCCAAATGTGGTCAGAGTACCAACATGCTTTCCTTCCTACTTAAATATGCTCTAAGACATTGTACACACTTAACAAAAGGGCTACTGTAAAAACAGAAAACTCTAGCAAAATATTTGTTCCTGGACAAGGGAAAATGTTAGATAAATTCTGGAAATTCAGCTCTGTGGAAGTGATCATGATATTGTCACATCTTCATTTACTGAGGGTCACTCTAACATCTAAACTATAAGAGAAAACAAAATGGGGGAAAAAAAGTAGGACATTGTGATCTGTATAAAGCACAATCATGAGAAAAGCCAAGAAAACACAAAAGCAGTCTAAAAATGAGTGCAAATGAAAAATAACACAGAATGTCTTCCTGCTAAGAAAGATGAGAATTCATTGTGAATTTAAGAAGCATGACCTTATCATTGCACAGGCAAAATGTCCCTTGCAGTTGAATCATAGGTGGGGCAAGCATATTCTTCTTCCTAGAGCAGTGATTTTCAAAGTGTGGTTCCAGGACCTCTACTATGTCAGCCAACATAGGCAACTTGTTAGAAGTGCAAATTCTCAGGTGTCCCCACAGAACCTACTGAATCAAATCTGGGAGTGAGGCTCAGCAATTTATGTTTTAACAAGCCCTGTAGATGATTCTGATGCATGCTAAAATTTAAGATAAGACCTTCCCTAAAATCAAAGAATGTATAAAAAAAAAAAAACTCCCACCACCATCGAGTCGGATCCGACTCATAGTGATCCCTCCTTGGATTTCTGAGGCGGTATCACTACAGAAGTAGATTGCCCGATCTTCCTTCCAAGGAGTGGTTGGTGAGTTTGAACCACCAGCCTTATGGTTAGCAGTCACATGCCTTAGGCACTAGCCACCAGCGCTCCACAGAATGTATATATCAAATATAGTTTTCTAAATCTGGGATTACTTTATCAGAATTTCTATATTTTATAATATTTAGGTAAGTCACTTAGAAATATTGAATTACATCTCCTGGGGAAAAATATGTGTAGGATCTATCTATACGGATTCTCTTTGGAGCCTACATTTTTTTCTTTCCATCTTTTATTATTGAATGAACAGTTTAATATATTGGCTCTTATATCTGTTGGAAATCACTATATATATATATATATATAAAAGGAGCTTTGGTAGCATAGTGCCTAAGGCACTTGACTGCTAACCAGAAGGCTGGTGGTTCAAACCCACCAGCCACTCCTCGGAAGGAAGGTTGGGCAATCCTACTTCCGTAGTGATACTGCCTCGGAAACCCAATGAGGGGTCGCTATGAGTCGAGGCCGACTCGACGGCAAATAACAACAACAACAACATATATATAAAACTTTTTATGGTTTTCAAATTACTTTTACCATCATGTATGTATGAATCCTTGGGTGATAATTGAGGTTGATTCTACGTTGAGAAGGCAGCACTTCCTCAGTGTTCT